AGTGAAGACAGAAGTCGCCAGAGAACAAAAGGTGACTCAAGAACGTTCTAAAATGTAAAGTGTCTATGTTGGAAACCAGTAGACTGCCTTTTTGCAACTGATTCTAAGAGAAGCATTGCAAGAATAGTGTATGGACTTTAGATTACTAAAGTATAGACGCGATAAAGGCATTTTGTAACACACATCAAACATAACTTTGCTGGCCAAATATACCAAACGCATGCTCGTACATTTAAAGGCGGGGCGGCACTGGGGGACGTTACAAACTACGATGCCCAAATGAAAAAATTGCTACTGGGATACTTTGAGCTCCAAAAATATGCATGATGCGTGGTATCAAAGTTGTTACCAGCCCACTTCAGTGCTGAAGCCATTTTCGATTAATAGTTAAAAATTGACGTCAATTTTCCAGAGTCTAGTCTCCCTCCTAGTCCTAGTCAAGAAGAAGATGAAGAGGCGTTAAAGGTAATGAATTTACCCATTTTCAAATTATTCCCAAAAATTTCTGTAAAATATCTAAAGAAAGGTTACCCTCCCTAGACGGCAATCAAGGCGTCGTTATCACGAAAAAGGGGTACGAGAAAAAAGAGGGAATCAGTTGAAGAGGAAGATTCAATAGAAGTGACTAAGGAAGAGAAGGAGGAGCCTAAAGAAGATTCAAAAGAGGCCGAGAAGCCAGTGACACGATCAAAAGGAAAGGAGAAGACGAAAGAGGAGCCTAAAGAGGATACGAAAGAGGCAGAGAAGACAACGTCACGATCGAAAAAACGCAGTCAGGTGTCGCGAAAGGGAAGCATCAGATGTAAGTACGACATTTAAAAATGTTCCTGTCTCATATAGAGAAAATGCCAGGACTGACAATTCTAATGAGTCCATCAGAACAGTTTCCACACTTCCGCTGCCTGTCGAAGGGCAGCAGAAGAGTGGAAATTGTTTTGATGGACTGTGGACTCACCAGTGAGAAGAACGAAGGGTGTCATAGACACTGTTCACAATCTCTACCTAGCGGCCACTTATTCTTTCGCAAGCTGTCTTCTCTACGCCTTTTGCGAACGAACTCCCTGTCATGCGGTTGATGGAACGCCTACTTAAGGTCCATGGCAGAGCATTAAATAGGAGTTATGTTCTGCCATGACTCCTTTGTAGGCATGTGGTTGGTTAAGGAGCTCTTTGGGTGAAAACCCCATTCAAAACCTAAAAATGCGTATATACAAATGCGGTTATTTAATTAGATGCAAAAATGGCAATTTGGTCATATCTACACATGAATGACAAACAAACAAGTAAACACGGGAAGATAAGATATCTGGTAGATAAACAAGAACGAAAAAGCGGCGGACGTTGGGCAGGAATAGAAATAAGGAGGTGAAGTGACTGGCGACAGTATAGAATCGGGCAGAACGACGGATGTGTGGCCGATGTCTCGGGGTGCTCAACAGCGCGCAGCGATTTTCAGATAGTCGTTTCGTTATTAGAATTTCCCTCCATCACTTCGTAGAGACTGAGAAAGCGGAACATGTGAAGAGGGATACACGTATGGTCGCAAGTGCTAGTCCTAGACCCTCGGGAGGGATCGTTTGCAAATGGTTGCCATCGCATAACTGGCCCTTAGATGGGTTTGTCGTTTGAAAGTCACCCATTTATCTTATCAGAATCCATGCGCCATAAAAGCATGTGTGTTGTCTGGGAGAATCACAAAACTGCCTAGAAGTTCGGCCTCCAGCTTCGGCTAGCTCTGACAGCCAATGGAAAAGTCCTCTTTTGAAGTTTGTGTTTGAGTCTCACTTTGTTACTCTTGAAAACTTGGTTTCAGTAACATTAACAGAAAAAGTCAAGTCATTAATTCGTGAACCGGGATTGGACGAACCACCAAAAGAGCTCATTAAAGTAGTACACGTAGAACTGCCCGCAGTGAGTTACTTTTGTATGAGTTGACTTTTATATAAGTTGGTTTTTGCTTTCCGAACAATCCACCTAAACAGTGAAAACGTTCAGACATTACTTCAGGGCAGACCTCTTGACCTCGTTCTTTCAACAAATCTCGTAATACGAGCTGTTAGCAAATACTCGTTAGCATTTTACGATGTAATTGTTGGCGATCAAGTGAGTATATATAGCTATGTGATTAATTATGTGATTATAGGAATGAATATAGAAAAATTATTTATTGGTGGGTATGTCAAGCGATGGATAACTTATCAATATGAAATAAGTAAGAAGAGACGGTCATAATCAAGTGATAAGTTGGTTTCTCTGCTTGAACTTGGACGAAGTTGACAAAATTTTCTATTCCGGCTTACGTTTCGGGGTGATCGTCTTCTACAGAGCCTGGAAAGATCGAAGCAATTTATGACTACCCGACCAAACGCTTCAACTACAGAGAGGAAATACGAGACCTCAGAGGCATCACGCAATTGTAAGTTGGGCCACTTACCGCAGATGAATCCGATCCTCGCGACTACTTAGAAACCAGCAGTGGTCAACCTTATATACGGCCTTAGCTCCTGCTTGATTGTGAGGCATTATTCCCTCCACCAATGAGTATAAGTCACANATCTGCGGTAAGTGGCCCAACTTACAATTGCGCGATCGCTTCTGAGGTCTCGTATTTCCTCTCTGTAGTTGAAGCATTTGGTCGGGTAGTCATAAATTGCTTCAATCTTTCCTTACTTTCAAGAAGGCCGTCACGCCAAAAAGTAAGCCAGGGTAAAGAATTTATCAACCTCGTCCGAGTTCAAGCAGAAAAACCAAGGTACGCACTCTGCCGAGGTTTAGAGAAAGCCGTGCATGGCCATTACGTGATACCGTACGACGGTAGAACAAATGGTTCCCAACCCTCGGTTGGAAAATTTGCAACCATTTCTAGTGACTAGAGTAACTATTTGGATAAAAGGTTATGTATAGATAAACAATAAATATCATTTTGTTTTAGCACACTTCACGATAATTCTTAGGTATGTAGCTTAAGAGAGATAACGAAAGTTATGATGTATAATAGTGCAAAAATGG